AGACTAGACTATAGACTAGACTATAGACTAGACTATAGACTAGACTATAGACTAGACTATAGACTAGACTATAGACTAGACTATAGACTAGACTATGGACTAGAATATAGACTAGACTATAGGCTAGTCTATAGACTAGACTATAGACTAGACTATAGACTAGACTATAGACTAGACTATAGACTAGACTATAGACTAGACTATGGACTAGAATATAGACTAGACTATAGACTAGTCTATACACTAGTATATAGAATAGTTTACAGATTAGACTACAGGCTAGACTAAAGCCTAGACTACAGATTTCACTATAGAGTAGACTGTAAACTAGACTATGGACTATATTATAGACTTGACAGTAGACTAGACTATAAACTAGACTAAAGACTAGATTATAAACTAGATTATAAACTAGACTATAAACTAGACTATAGACTTGACTATATACGAGACTGTAGACTAGACTATAGAGTAGACTATGGACTAGACTGTAGACTAGACAATAAACCAGACTATAGACTAGACTATAGAGTAGATTATAGTATAGTCTAGACTATAGATTAGTCTATAGATTAGACTATAGATTAGACTATAGATTAGTCTATAGATTAGACTATAGACTAGACTATAGACTAATTAGGATTTAAAGAATTCCCGTGGAAGCTTATTCCAGAAATTTCCCAATATAAAAAACCCTAAACATTAGTCTTAATAGCCCGAACTATAAATAATAAAAAAAAAACTATATAAAAACCCATAGATTCTGACACATTTAACATGACTGGCGATCCAGTAGCAAGTTCATTAATATGTATGTAATTTTTCAAGTTGCTTCAATCATAATTACTAATGTCTTTATATACTTTTATTAGTAGAAGAGAAAAAAAAAGCAAAAGTTTTCTAGTTTTCTTTTTTGCAAAACTGATCTATAGAGCAGTTTTCATTATTGTCAAGTAAAACTTTTTTGTAGTTTGCAGTTCATATTTACTTTTTTCATTTTCATATTTTATGACTTGACCTACATTTAACTCTCTCGAAATTTATTATATATTTTTTCTTTCCTAACAAAGTAAGACTTCCTATAATTTCTATTCAACTCCTCTGTAACATGGCCATTGGGTGTAGTCATGCTATTCGCGGTTGTTGTTTTCGTTGTTGCTGCTGCTGTAGATCATGAGCTGCTGATAATATGTAACTAGTTTTTCTTGCAAACTACAAGCCACCAACTTCCCAGGAGTTTTCTTTTGACTTAACAAACATTAAACATTAATAAAAATTCAATGGAAAATTCCTAACTAGAGTACCTAAACTAAACTTTTCAAGAAACATCTTGTGCTGTTTTAAATGGCTCATCTATGCTGGAGAACATATGTATGCATTTGCTATATTAGCAAATCACATAAATAGCATTTGCTGCTAATATGTTTTACTTTAACAATATGCGTGTGATTTTGTTACTCCAGCAGCTCAAATTATGGTTGCTTTTGTGGTAATAAAGTAGTATTCCTGGAAATAAAGAATTGCTTTCGCAATTGGTAATAAATACTTAAAGTGCTTGCAACAAGTAATACTGTAGAGCAAATCAATGTAATGTCAGCATATTTAAGCATACAAACTATAAAAAGCATGCATAATTAGCTACTATTACTACTATTTTTCTTTGCAATTACTCAATTTAAATTGAATTTTTTCCTAATTAGTTTTTTTATAGAGAAAATATTTAATTTGTTTGTTGCTGGTAGTAACTAGTATTCTTTGATTTAAATTGCTTAATAGAAATTGAAGTTGTTGCTTAAGAAAAGCTTTTAAAATTCCTTTTTACAAGTAATTTATATGTAAAAAGGACTAGTATGGTTTGCTATTGAATAGTTTTAAAGGAAGAGAAATTCCAATCCGGAAAAAAAGCTTAATTGAATTTTTGAAATAATTGATCTTCTCTAAAATAGTGATCGCATGTATAGATCGTTGGTATAGACTTGTGCTAGCAGAAAACATGTAGAAAATCACTAGAAAAGTTTATCGGGATCATATCGCAAGATCAGTTTGTTTGTGTAAAATTTTCATTGTTTAGTAGAAGCCAAGCACTCTTATGCCAGAATCTCATCAATTTATAGCGATCTATATTGATCATCGTGAGCCAAATTTTGGAATAATTTCGTTCTAATTATCCGTTTACATATAATGATCTTTGTTCTGTTCATTATGTAAAAGGCAGCTATGTCCAGCGATCTGAAGATCGCTACAGATCGATGTGGTCATTGTGCTAAATTATTATGGCAGAAAGCAATGCTGTTCTGCCAGAGCAACATCGATCTATAACGATCGCCATACAACTTTTAGAATAATGATTTGTTTACTGAAACATATATCATGATCATTTTAGAACAAGTTGGCTCCAGTAATTTCATGAGTCTTTACGTAAATAATTTTCGGACTGTCGGAACCACATCGATCTGTTGCGATCAGCGAACAAAATTTTAGAATAAGTTGACTCTAATGATTAATTTACATATTATGATCACTGTGCCGTATTATTAAGACAGAATACAACACTGTCCTGTCTGAACTATGTCGATCTGTATAATTTAGATCTAATGACAATAGATGATAACAACAAGACCTCCAGATACAGATCATATATCATGATCATTTTAAAAGAAGTTGGCTCCAGTGATTTCATGAGTCTTAACGTATAATGATTGTCGGACTATCGGAACCACATCGATCTGTTGCCATCAGCGAACAAAATTTTAGAATAAGTTGACTCTAATGATTTATTTACATATTATGATCACTGTGCCGTATTATTAAGACAGAATACAACACTGTCCTGTCTGAACTATATCGATCTGTATAATTTAGATCTAATGACAATAGATGATCATGAACATTTTAGAACAAGTTGGCTCCAGTGATTTCATGACTCTTTACGTATAATGATGGCCGGACTGTCGGAGCCACATCGATCTGTAGCGATCACCGAACAAAATTTTAGAATAAGTTGACTCTAATGATTTATTTACATATTATGATCATTGTGCCGTATTATTAAGACAGAATACAACACAGTCCTGTCTGAACTATATCGATCTGTAGCAATTGACCATCGAAATTTAAGAATAATTAAGATCTAATGACAATAGATGATAACAGCAAGACCTCCAGATAGAGTCAACATTAAGCAGCCATTACAACTGAACCCAAAAGGATCATTAGTCTATGGCTTTTCACTTCTTATTTGAAAATCATTTTGGGCACTTAAAGAACGTGATTTTAAGAACTAGTTCCAAGCTTGATAATCCAAAAAAATAGCTGAATGACTAGTGATGTAACTGTTAATATTTCAAAAACCCCTCATACTATATTGAAATCCCTATAAGCTAATCGTTTATATATAAATCTAAACTCTTAAACATAAATTAGGTTAATCCTCTATGATGTCATCTGTTAAGCGCATACGTTGATGCCAAATGACAAAATGACAAACAAGATCAATCAATCAGTAAGTCAGTCAATTTACCACTTAAAAAGGAAACTAGTTTCTTGATCACAACGATCATTGGCGATCATCGATCGTTTAAAAAATTTTTACGTTGGAAAAAAATGCGTAGAATTTTGTTTTCCGTTTTGCTTTACCATAATTTAAGTCTTAATGTTCAGGCTTGAGGTTCATCATGCAGCAGCATGCGTGTATGTTGCATTTCTTTGAAATTCGTTCCATTTTATCGCTTGAATTTATTGAATGATACATGTGACAAACGTTGGTTAATCTTTGGAAACAGGTTTGACACTCGAACTTGTAACAATTGTATGGCGTTTTTTTTTTCGATTCTCTGTTTATTTGTTTTATATTTCACGTGATGGTCATGATGATGATTATTATGATTAAACTATTAAATCAATACGATTGCAACAATCGCTGGCAATAGTAATAAAGAAATTGAAGATCACCAGAGAGAGAGAAACAGAGAGAAATAGTAGACTTAACAGCGTCAAATATTAAGCATTTGAAAATATGTATTTTATTTATTAAAACTGCAAAGAATAGAGAAAAAAACAAACATTGCAATGAGCAGCGCAAGTAAATTTTTTTTGTTGAGCAACGGCACTTGAATGTCTGCATATATTGGCGCATGAAAGCCATTGACTTCCTCAGTCTGAGCTGGCTTTTTGGCTAATGATAATTAAGCGGATGAGGCAGCCTTAAAATGATCATAATCGTGATGCTGTTTGCAACCATCGGCAGAGTTAGACTAGCCAAAAATAAGCCATAAAGAACAAACAAACAAAAAAAAAAAGAAAATATGTTGTTTCTGTTTAAGAAACAACATCAACTACAAAACGGTAGATATTGGCGTCTGTGTTACACACAACACAAAGTTGACGTTGCAGCAGCAATGTTGCACGAATGTTTTGCAGAAAAATGCAACGGGAACAACTCTACTAACTAAAATGTAACTATGTATTTACAACAACTATCATGAGTTTAACTACTACTAGTACTACCACTAACACCAGCACTACATACTACTTCTATTTCAACTACTTGTGGCAAAGACTGACGACTTAGTTGGTAAACCAGTGGAAACAGGTTGAGCGGCAAATAGGTATTGCAAGTAGTATATTGTGATGTATCATGCTTGATCATGTTATTGATGGCTTTGTGCAGGTTTCTTCTTGTTGCTTCTTGGCAAAAATTTCTTTCTAGCAACAACAAAAAAATAAGGAAAAAAAAGTGTGTCAACCAAAGTTTAGTTTCCTAAAAGTACAAAAAACAAACAAAAATAAAGTAAAATGTAGGAAAAAAATCAGGTGTGGATAGTAACTACCCAACATGTGAAAGATGCTTGGGAATTTTTGTTTGTGATACATACAAATTCCACTTTTTTAAAATTTATTATTTCTTCCTCTAACTTTGACTATTCTGAAATATGTTTCTAAGCAGTTTTTCCAATTTTTATTGATGGCCATCTTTTTTCCATTTCTTTGTTTACTTGCAGCTGCTCCACCTGGTTCTGTCTGTTACAGTCATGCCCACTGTCAAATGTTTCATGCCCGCACCCATTGTGATTTCTTAATTCCCAATCTGTTCGGTCGTTGTCAATGTACCGCTCCTGCCAAACTTAAGGCTGGTGTGTGTGTAGACAATACAATTGAAGAAGTTCAGGTACCAGTAGCCCAAACTACCACTACTACAACAACTGCTCCTGTTAAGGAAACTGAAGCTCCTCTTAATCTTGAACAAGAACCAGCAATTGTAGCTACCCAACCTCAGGTTTTGGCTGATCCCATAGTAGAAGAACAAGCTGATCCCACAGTAGAAGAACACGCTGATCCCGTTAAACAACAATTCCAACAAGAACCCGAAGAAACAGCCAATGTTTCGGTAGAAGAACAAGAGTGGGACGATGATAAAGATATTGTGCAGCTCACATCAAAAACTCCCATTGAATTGCCAGAAGATACAGCAACACACTATGAACCCTTAACACCCGCTCAAACTGAGGAACAACACGCTCAAGAGGCTACAGAAATTTCGGAAACTCAACAATATGTTCCCAATACTACTGATGATTATCCCTATAAAATTGAAGAGGAAGAAAATCATACAGAGGCCCAAAAACAAGAACAGGCTGAAGAACATCTGTCGGAGACAGACATGCAAGAAGAAGAACATAATGAATATGGCGATGTGGTAGATAATACCATGAATTTTGATTATGAAGCCGCCCAACAGGAGATGGAGGATAATTTGGAACAAGAACATGATGGTGAAGAACACGAGCAAGTTCAGCAAGTTCAGCAAGAAGAGGTAGAAGACTTGGACAAACATGAACAAGAGCCAGAACAAGAACAAGAGCAAGTTGATAATCAAGAGCAAGAATTGGAACATGAGGTAGTACAAGATGAAATAAAGACTGAGTCAGAATATCAGCCAGAAGCTCAACAAGAAAATGAAGAAGTTCAGGAACTAGAGCAACAACAAGATCATGCAGAAAATCCTGAAACGGAACAAGAACAACATGTTACCGAACAGGAACAAGATCTAGATCAAGAGCATGAAGAAAAGCATCAGTCAGAAGATGAACAACAACAACATCAAGAAGAACACGAACAAATTGAAGAGACTGAACAAGAGCACGAAGAAAATTCTGAATCAGAACAAGAGCAAATTCATGAACAACTTAATGAGTTAGAACATGAGCAAGAAGAGCATGTAAAACATCTAGAACCAGCCAATGAACAAGAACCAGAACAAATTCAAGTGTCCGAACAGGAACAAGTAGATAATCAGGAATCAGAACATCAACAAGAAGAAAAACACGAAGAACTTGAACCAGAACACACTCAGGACTCTGAGCAGGAACATGTGGAAAATCAAGAATCAAACCAACAACCAGAAAATGAGCCCGAACAAGAACAAATTCAAGATTCTGAGCTGGAACATGTCGAAAATGTAGAGGCCGGACATGAATCAGCTGCTGAACAAGTACAGGAGACTCAGCATGAAGAAGAGTATGCTGAAACTCCTGTTAATGAATCTGAACAGGAACATGTAGAAAATCCAGAAACAGTATCGGAACATGATCTGGAATCAGAGCAGGAACAAGGACAAGTGGAACATCAAGAATCAGAACATGACAAAGAGCCAGAGAATGTTCATGAAACAGTATCGGAAACACAACAAGAACAGGAAGAAAATCATGAATCAGCATATGACAAAGAGCCAGAGAATGTTCATGAGCCAGAAGAGGAACAAAATTATGAAGCTAACCAGTTACCATCAGAGCCAGAAAGCGAAGTTCATGAACTAGAAGAAGAACAAGAGAATGTAGATCACCAGCAGCAATCGGAGCCAGAAAACGAAGCTCACGAACAAGAACAGGAGCTTGAAGAAAATCATAAGGAGCAAACTGAACAGGAACATTCTGAAGAAACTCAACCAGAACAAGAATTCGAATATGAACAAAATCAAGAGCATGAGACAGAACATAATATTGAACAACAATCCGATGAAGATCATGATGATGTTACAGAACATAACGAAATTGAAGAACAACAAGCTGTTGAGCAACATAACGAAGAGCATGCTGAACAAGAAGATCATATTGTTGAACAAGATCATATCGAACAACTGGATCACATAATCTCTGACAATAATGAAATCAACAACATACCACCCAAACAACAGCAACAAGACAATCAAGAAGAAAGTTTAAATGAATCATTAAGCTTACAATCAATAACAAATGAAATTCATCATGATCAAACCGATGAAGTTGTAGCGGAAAATGAAAGTGTTCAAAATGAAAATGAAGCAAACACACAACAACAACAGCAGCCTGAAGCTGTGACGATGGCAAATGATGAAGTTATTACCACACAATCGGCTGTACTTGAGGAAGAAGTTAAAAATGTACCAGAAGCTGAAATCGATTTAAGCAATAGTCAAAATGAACAACAACAACAGGTTGCTTCTTCGGTTGTTGATGAGTCGGTTGTCAATGATGAGAAGATCGTAGACAATGAGGAAGAGAAACTTGTAGGCCAACAAATTGATGAAAACAATGCTGCGGGCCAAATTGCGGACACTAACGAAGCAGAGGAAGAACAACAACAGCAAGAAGAAGAAATGTTGCAAGAAACCACAGAAAAAATGCCTGAAGTAGATAACCATACTGATGGCGATGCTGAAAACTCTGATCATCATGTGTTTGAAGATTTCGAAAATCAACAAGAAGATAAACAAAATGAAATTTCAACCGAACAAAACATAGAAACTGACCAAATTAATCAAGATGTTAATGATATTGAACAACATGAACCTGTTGAACAAATAGAAGAGGAACATGATGAACCAATTGCATTAGATGAGAAACATTTGGAAGAAGAGCAACCTGTTACTGTGGCCAACATTGAGGAAGCTCAAGATCAAATTGCAGAGGAACAAACAGTTGTAGAAGAAATATTACCTAATGAAACTGATCATGAGTTGGTAAATGAAGAGGATCATCATATTTCTCAAGAAGCTATGACAGAACAACCTCAATATTTGGAAAATGAGCCTGCAACTGAGACTGCCGAAGAGGAACATAAACCCCATGAAGAACTCGCAGCCGAGCAGGAACATAATGAAGAACAACGGCAACAAGAACAAGATGTTGTCACTGAATCCTCTTTGGAAGATTTGAAACCCATCAATAATGCAATTGAAGAAGATGAAGAACATAAGGAAGAAACTGTTAAAGAAGAAAACCAAGAAGATATATTCCAAATGAACTCGGAAGATGTAGCATCTCTAGAACAATCTGAAAACTCAGAAACTATCAATCAAAATGAAGAAACTTTTGGCGAAATCACAGAAAATAATGAACAATCAGAAGTCAATGGTGACAGTAATGAAAACTCGGTAGTAAGTGAAAATGTAGAACCCTTAGCTCATCATGAAGAAACTGTCATAGAACATGAAGAGGATTTGGCAGAATCCACAACTTTGCCCACTGAAGAAGAGCATAAAGAAGAAGATGATATTGCCGATAACTTGGAACATGTTAATGAAAAGACTGAAGTTGTTGAAGAAACTAATCAAGATGCAGAGAAAGCTGTGGAAGATAATGAACAACATGAAGCCGATAATGTGGAAAATGAAGAGGATCAACATAAAGAGGTCGAAGAACATCTCGCAGATATAAGTAAAGAAGAGGAACACAAAGAGTCGGAACACATGGCAGAATCAGCGGATGTTAATAATGCTGAAATCGAGCCAATGTTCAGCAACGAAGAACCTCCACAAGTTACCGAATTACCAATCGAAAGCGACAATGTGCCATCTGAAACACTCCAAGAAATTGAAGAACCAACTCCAACATTAGCTGACAGAATTGATGATGATAATGAAGAGTCTGCAAATGAGGAAACTGTTAACCACTATGGGACTCTTAATCAAGACAGCATTGAAGACAATGAGGTGTCACAAGGTGAACAAACCGAAAGTGAAGAAAATGTCTATCTCAATCAACCACAAAATAGTTACTTTAACCAAGATGAAATAATTGATTCTGCTAGACCTGTAAATGAAGAATTCAAAGAAAGCGAATCTATTAGCGACATTTTAAATAATCTCATGAAAGAAGAGGTGACCCTACAACCCGAATATGGCCAAGAATCCGATTTCAATGATCATTTGCAAAATATGCATGAAAGTGATGTAGCTGATCTCTTGGCAGAAGATACAAACATCTCCGAGGAATCGGTTATGTCGCAACAATTGCCAACTCAAGATTCTACTGAAGCACCTATTGATCCAGGAGATAAACTTATAACTTTCTATCCTGATATGCAAGAAGTGCAACCAGTACAACAATTACCCATCACAAGCCAAGAAGAACAACAGCAACAAGAGTCTGTCGAACAACAACAAGAAGAAGCTTCGGGAGATGATGAGAAGACACATGCAGAAGATAATGAAATTGAAAAGACTGAAGAAGAACATCATACCTTATCACCCTTAGATCTGCCCTTCGATACCTCGGTAGATTATGAGCCTCAACAATTCGAAGCCGACAACTTGGTGGTAGAAACTACCACAATTTCAACTAATGACTTGAAGGTGGAGGAAAATAATGAACAGACTGAAACCACTACCTCAGCTGGAGCTATTGAGGAATTGACTACACAAACTATGTTGAATTTGGCTAGTCGTGTTACTCTTATGGAACCAGCTGCTCCCATAGCCACCACCCTAAGACCTTTAATGTCTTTGAATGCTAATGATGAGGTAACAGCCGAGCCCTCTATTGATGCTCCCATTATGGAAAGTCTATTGACCACAAAACCCACCACAGGTAAGAAGGAGTGTAGGTGAACGAGAAAGATTGTATTTTTAAACTAATTGGAGTTTCTCTATTTTTTGTTTCAGAAATTCGCAAACGTGTGGAATTGAGTTTGGAAGCTGTTTCCTTGGGTTTGTCTTGCTCCAATGATAAACAATGTCAACTGGCCGATCCTAATACAGTTTGTAATGCTCGTGGTGTTTGCGATTGTGCCGCCAATGCTTACTCCTCTCAGATGCAAAACGATGCTTCTGCGGCTCAATGTGGTGCCGAGAGAACAGGTTGTGCTCCTGGTACTTTCCAAGTAAGTAGTTGTTAATAGGAGTAAGGCTTTCCAGAACCGTTTCAACAAGTAATACACTTTCTTTTACAGTGTCGCTCTAGTGGCGTTTGCATATCTTGGTTCTTTGTCTGTGACGGCCGTTCTGACTGTAATGATGCCTCTGATGAGGAATGTACTTTCAATACACGCCTTAATCAAACCTGCCCCAGTCAAGCTTTCCAATGTGGTCAAAGTGGACGTTGTATTTCAAGGGCTGCGCTCTGTGATGGTCGCAAACAGTGTCCACATGGTGAAGATGAAATTGGCTGCACAGCCTTGAAATCGGAAGACTCCTGTCCACCACACACTTTCCGTTGCAAGAGCGGTGAATGTTTGCCCGAATATGAATACTGTAATGCCATTATATCGTGCCGTGATGGCAGTGATGAACCACCACATTTGTGTGGTTCCCGCTCAATGCCCAATTTCTTTTTGCAACTTTTAACCGCTGGTGGTTTGATGAATAAGAATATCGATAATAATGCCTATTGCCCACACAGATGCAGCAATGGTAGATGTCGTTCAACGGCCATAGTATGCTCGGGCCGTGATGGCTGTGGTGATGGTACAGATGAACAAACCTGTTCAGTGTGTAGTAAGTTTTTTTGTAGTATTAACAAGAGAAATTACTAATTATGTTATTCTTTCTAGGATGCCCTGCCGTTAACTATGATAAACCTGCCATCAATGTTTCAGAATTTTTGGCCAGACATCGTCCCATGCCTTTGTGGTAGACTGCTTGCTTACACTACCTGTCTTTCCCTTTTCACCGTTTATAATTAACTACTTTTATGCATTTGCCACTTGGAAGAAACCAACAATTTTTCTAGTTATAGGTTTATTTATTTCTACAACTTTTCACCCCATTTCCACCCACACCCCCACAACTCCACACACATTTTAATTATTTATTTCTTGGCACTACACAATTTTATTTAATGAAAATTTTCTCACAAAAAAACTTCTACTAAAAAATTGTCTCCTTGCTAGCAAAGGTTTCGTTTAAAAAAATATTTTTAAAATTAACGTTTTTTTAATCAATGGCTACTTTTTCTGGTTTTTTAAATGTTTTATCGCGCAAACCTTTGATCTAGCGATGTCTGACAATTGAATTTATGGAAAAAAAGTGTTAGTGTTGCAAAACGGCATAAAACAAATATTTTATTTCATTATTTAACTATTTATTTTTCATTGCATTTATTTTATAAGTTATTATTTTTTTAAAACTCTATCCCTTTATTTTCTTATAAATATATTTAAAAGCCCCACTTGCATGTTGAAAAGTGGACGATAAAGTGAAGAAAAACAAAAATAAAGTAAAACAAAATAATTTTTTTAAAAGAATTTAAAAATGTATATTCTAGAAGATTAAGAAAAAATAAAAAAAAACATTTTTGAAAAATAAACAAATAAAAAATATTTTTCTAAAGAAAATTGATTTTAATTGAGCCTTTAATCGATCTTAATATTGTGATCGCAGAATTTATTAGTTTTCATATTAGGGCGTCATTAAAATATCTAGTTTTTTCATTTGGGGTTTTCAGATTAAAATCGATGTTTTGAAGGAAAATTTGAATGATCACAGTTTTTTAAAAATTTTCTCAATTGAAGCCTTATTTGAGGATCTATAGCCGATTTAAAGTTTTCCATATAAAATATGAGTGATTTTAGATTTTCACTATTTCCCCAATTGGGGCGTTATTTAAGGATCTACAGGCGATAAAATTTTACTTTTGATGGAAAATATAAATGATTCTCACTATTTACTCAATTGGGCCGTTATCTGAGGATCTACCGACGATTAAGGTTTTTCATATAAAATTAGATTTTTGATGGAAAATATAAGTGATCGCAGATTCTCTTTGATGGAAAATAGAAATGATCACAGCATCTCACTACTTTCTCAATTGTAGCATTATTATTACGATCTACAGCCGATTTAAAATTTTTATAGTGATCACAGATTTTAAAAACTTTTCCGATTTAAATTATTCAGATAAAATTTGATTTTTGAATGAAAATAGGAGTGATCACATTTTTTTCGATTTTTAATGGAAATAATGAGTGATCACAGATTTTCACTATTTTTCTTAATTTACTAGCGATTTTAAGTTTTTCATAAAATATCGATTTCTGTCGGAAAATATTAGTAATCACTGATCACATATTTTTTCCCTCATAAAATTTTCTCAATTGGAACGTTATTTAAGAATCTATAGCCGATTTAAGCATTCTCAATTGGAACATTATTAAAGGATCTACAGCCGATCTTAGGTTTTTCATATAAAATTGTCTCACTATTTTCTCAACTGGAGCGTTATACAGTAGAATGTCGAGTGCTTTACGTGAACACCTGCCTTGACGGCCTTATTTCACTGTGGTCTTTTCATCCACTGGGTAGACTTGAGGCGGTCTACCACGCGCCCCTGAATCCTTCCATGAAGAACTCAGGTGCCAATTTTTGTGCATGGCTGAGCCGGTCCATGTGAAGTACTCGAGCTATCTAATCTCTTGTCATAGTAGCCCCGTTACTGAATGACAGGCAGCATGAGATCAATCCCAATGCAATGCCCGACAAGGAAAAAACAATCACTGGTCTAAAGCCAATATCAGGTGAAATCAATCTTTCGGTATAGCGGAAGGTGACCACCCTTATAATGTCATGAAAGATTGCATTATTTAAAATGCAATCCCCATCAATTAATGATCCATTACAGTGCGTTCCTTAAACTCTTAAAGCCCGCGGAACCACACTACTGAGATGGCTCTGTTGATTCGGCAACAGCACCTAGAGACGTATTTGGTAGTCCGAAATTCCCAGCCAATAAATCAGGATCCCTCTGTATGCCCCGACAACTTGAGATAACGGACCTCAACCATAAGTCTCGTAGCATGAAACAATATGAATCCAGTTGAGATGGCACCGAGAACTTCGCTGAAGTAAAAGGTCTACTAAATCAGTACTAGTCTCCTGTCGGGCAGAGGAGTCTTTTCCGATCTTTCACCAAATACATCAGTTTCATTCTCAGACTATAAAGAACGATCTACGGAATGACAGGCACCTATATTGGCGCCCTACTACCCGAAGAGTAAGAGATAGTCAACGGATTCAGGAATCCAGCATAAGTTGCTCTGTCACATCAGCCAGTGACTTCTGTTGAGATGGCAACAGCACCGGAGAGAGAATCCAGACATATGTATATGGCATTTGGATATATCAGTCCTTGAATCCACATTCTCTTCCCGTGATTTTGGGCCACAACGTGGATCCGGAAGGAAATTCAACCAACTGACAAGCCAGGACAAGTCCTGCGGGCAAATGACCACCCGTTGTGCCATGTTATATGGCACTCTGGTTAGACCCCATGTCAAATCATTTCAAGGAAAGGTCGAGGATATATTTGATCATCACCAGTTTATAGTCCCGCAGACTAGAGGTATTGGTAGCACCTCTTTTCCCCGGGATATAGCAATAACTTGGGTTTAAACCACAGCCACTACGTGGATCCCGAAGGAAACTTAACCAACTGACCAGCCAGGACAAGTCCTGCGGTCAAATGACCACCCGAAGTGCCAGATTATATGGTACTCTGGTTAGACCCCATGTCAAAACATTCCAACAGATCATCACCAGTTTATAGTCCCGGCAGACTAGAGGTATTGGCAGCACCCAGGATATTGCAATAACACCCGGGGGGATCTACAGTCGATTTAAGTATTTCGTAAATCGATTTTTAATGGAAAATATGAGTGATCGCAGATTTCTCTATGGGAGCGTTATTAGTGGATCTACAGCCAATTTCAGGTTGTTTATTTAAAAAACAATTTTTAGTAGAATATATGAATGATCACAGTTTTTTATGATTTTCTCAATTAAAGCATTATTTAAGGATCTGCAACCGATTTAAAGTTTTTCATATTTAAATTTTTGATGGTAATCAAGAGTGATCATTATTTTTTCTATTTGGTGCCTTAATTTAAGGTTTTTCATGTAAATAGATTTTTTTTAAATATATTCGAAGATAATGCCCTGCTACGGACAATTGATTAAAAGTACTGTTGCACTTAAAAGTTAGAATTAAAATCTTCATATAAAATCTCCAGGATACACACACCCAACATCCTTAACAATGTCATTGTCTGTTTATTCATGCGGGCATGATAATGTCTACAGCTGTTAAAATATGTTTGTATTTTGTCTATGTGTGTGTGTGTGTGACACATGTGATAAAAACAAAAAATAAACAAAAATTTACCGGGAGCTAAAAAAAAGAAAGGATGCAATAGAAGAAAGAAATAAACAAAGAAAGGGCGCACAAGCCTGAGATAAAATTGCCGACTAGCTGTGATTGTTGCTATTATCCTTACAACAACATGTTTGTTTATATATGAAGTAAAAATTTTTGCGCGTTTGCTGTTTATCTCTTCACACACAATGTTTCTCTCTCTATATGCCTTCTCTCTAAGACTATCTCTCTCATTTAAATACTTGGCATCACTTTATTTGTTTAACAGCCCTTGTTGTTTAAAAACGGCCAGGATTCATTCATTCAGTTGTTAAATATTCGCTAAACGGTGAACGGTGGTGGTAGTTGTTGTCTTTACTCCACACAATACAAACTAATTTTTATTATTTTTATATTTTTTGTTAAACCCTTGCAAAAATTTTAATAAAAGAAAACAACTTAGAAATTTGCAAAACTGCAGTAAACAAATAAAAAATTTAAATTTATACTTATTTTAGTGTAAAAAAGTAAGTGTAATGAGTAAAAATTTTAAAACGCCTAGATGTCGGCAAATATGTTTGTTTAAGTGTGAATTAAAGAAAGTCCTTTGTTAGAATATTAAGTGCATATTTACACATACATATAGTTAATTTTTGCATACACATGCATTTATTGATTTTTTTTCATGTTTAATTATCCTTTTGCGAGTTTGTAGGCCGTGTATGAAAAAGTGATATGTACGTACTGTCATTTAGATTGGCCTTTTTATATACATATTTAGTACAATTAATATGTATATTAATTATTTGAGATAAATGGACGTTTTACTTAAACTCAAGGACATTTTGTAAGAGCTTTAAGGATAAATGAAATCTGTAAGGAGCATCTTGTAATTTGAAAAGATATATTTATGTACATATGTATGTGTTAGTGCTTAAATGATATTATTTAAAAATAAAAGTTTAAAAAATAGATAAACATTTAATTGGTGGATTCGTGATTCGTGAAAATCAGTTGTAGATTCTTAAATAACGCTTCGAATGAGAAAACAGTATAAATTATGTTTTCAATGAAAACTTCAGTTTTATATGAAATAACACTCCATTTGAAAAATAATTAAAAATCTTTTATAACTTTAACTTTATCCTTAAATATCACTTAAAATGAGTAAAAATCATTGATTGCTCATATTTTCAATAAAAAATCGGTCATAGATCCTTAAATAAAGCTCCAATTAAGGAAATAATGAAAATCAGTGATCACTCAATCAAAAACATCATTTTATATGAAAAACCTAAAATCGGTTGTAGATCCTTTTTTAACATTTTAATTGAGCAAATAGTAAAAATTTGCGTTCACTCATATTTTCACTCAGATCGGCTATAGATTCTTAAATAACGTCCAATTAAAATATAGTAAAAATTTGCGATCGCTCATATTTTCCATTAAAAATCGATTATTATATGAAAACCTTATATCGGCTCTAGATTCTTAAATAATGCTTAAATAGAGAAAATACTGATAAACAAAAATATTTATGGTAAACCTTTAATTCGACTGTAGATCCTTAAACTACGCTACAATTGAGAAAATAGTGCAAATCTGTGATCTGTGTATTTTCCACCAAAAATCGATCTTAATATGAAAAACCTGAAATCGGCCGTATTTCCTTAAATAATGCTCAACAAAATAACGGATATCTGGGATCACTGTGTTAGTTAGTTAGTTATTTAATTAATTAGTTAGTTAGTTAGTTAGTTAGTTAGTTAGATAGATAGTTAGTTAGTTAGTTAGTTAGATAGATAGTTAGTTAGTTAGTTAGTTAGTTAGTTAGTTAGTTAGTTAGTTAGTTAGTTAGTTAGTTAGTTAGTAGTTAGTTAGTTAGTTAGTTAGTTAGTTAGTTAGTTAGTTAGTTAGTTAGTTAGTTAGTTAGTTAGTTAGTTAGTTAGTTAGTTAGTTAGTTAGTTAGTTAGTTAGTTAGTAGTTAGTTAGTTAGTTAGTTAGTTAGTTAGTTAGTTAGTTAGTTAGTTAGTTAGTTAGTTAGTTAGTTAGTTAGTTAGTTAGTTAGTTAGTTAGTTAGTTTCGTTCGTTCGTTCGTTCGTTCGTTCGTTAGTTAGTTCGTTCGTTAGTTCGTTA